CTTCCTCACACCTGGGGAAAGGATATTGCAAAATCTCCATTCCCACCCAACTCTAGGGGAAGGATACTGCAAAATCCCCATTTCTTCCTCACACCTGGGGAAAGGATATTGCAAAATCTCCATTCCCACCCAACTCTAGGGGAAGGATACTGCAAAATCCCCATTTCTTCCTCACACCTGGGGAAAGGATATTGCAAAATCTCCATTCCCACTCTACTCTGGGATCAGCTAGAGGTGGTATTTGCCAGTTCTCCAAACTACTCAAAATTTCCACTACTGTTTCTCCAGAACCTGTCAGAACCTGCTGAATTTCACTCCTGCTTATCACATAAGCCATTAACACATTTTTAAAACAGTAATGTATAACTTCAATATTTTGTTTCTCAAGTTCTCCAAGGCAGCATTATTTAAATAAATAAACTTAAATAATATCATAATCCATTCATTGTTTTAATCTAAAATGCTATATGGTAAGGTCCTGGGGAAATAGAGTGAAGATATGCTGCATATGTAATGGTCAACTAAGAGAGTGCATAATAACAGTTGGTTTATCAGTCTGGTTTAAAAGCAATGGCAGGAGATTTGTACTTGCAGACTTTCAAGATTCTGTAATTGTAACTTTACAATAAAGTAGATTTATCCTATCTGATCATGTTTCCTGTCTGGTCTACCTGATAAAGCTAACATCACCATCTTATGCAACAGAGTGCATAAGAGTGTTTAATGTATAGTATCACAGTCTCTTGTAATGACAGTTAGCTGGCAAACCAAGTTTCTTCATAAAAAGACTACAGTCAGAGTAAACTGAGAAAAAAGTGACATTTGGTTAACTTATTTATCTTTCATGTCAAATAAAGTTTGCTTATGATTTTAACTAGTGACATTTTAAATACGAGGGAATTTTCTTGAGTTCCTTATGTACTTTCTAGATAATTTAATTAATTCTAGTACTTACTTTTTCAGGTAGAGCACCATCATTTTTTTATGACATCTGAGAAACTATTTTAGTCACTTAAATGTGGAGAGTCTAATATTCACCAGTTTGAAAGAAATGAAATAATGTGCACCTCTTTGAAATTTTCCTTCTGACAGGTCACTTGCTTATCTAAAGTTAGCGGGTGGTATGTCATAGTCAATCTGACTTTATATTGCAAGATAATGTTCTGGTTTTTTGTTGTTGTTCATGTGGAATATTATCTAGGTCATTTACATCATTCATGGTGGGTCAACAAAACTATATTTTGGAATATATGAAAAAAGAAAGTTTATCCTCATTCAAGTGATGGTTCAACTTAACAAATAGTTTAGAAATATGAGTACAAAAACTTCGAATGAATATTAACTCCATCTGTTCAAAGAACATTTAATAATTTCTTCCATCATGGAATTGAAAGGGACGTTCTGTAATTGCTGTATTATATCCTCAAACCATAGCATGGATTTAGAATGGAAAAGTGGATTGCTTCCAAACTAAGATAATTAGAACTATTTCCTATTAGAATGAATTATTGGATTAGGTTACGTCATGACTAACATTCTACATGATTCATACAATAAATGCAGTTAAATTAATTGTAACATACCTTTTTTAATAAGAAACTTTGATGTAGCTTTTATATTATTTTGATGTTAAATCATCTTTTGACAAACATGATTTATTATTTTTCTGTGGTAATCATTTATTTCTGGGAACCAGGTCATCTGGAAGTTTTTCTAATATAGTATTATTTTTCATAAGAGTTTCTCATATATCTTATGATTCATGATGAATGTATTTATGATGACTTACGATCATGATTTATCACTTATATTTTTGTACACCGAGACCTTATTCACCGAAGACAAATTCCTTGTGTCCAATCCCACTGGCCAATAAAGAATTCTATCCTATCCTATCCTATCCTCTCTAAGCGGTTTACAGAGTTAGCATATTGCCCCCAACAATCTGGGTCATTTTACCTACCTTGGAAGGATGAAAGTCAACCTTTAACCTGGTAAGATTCAATCTGCCAAACTGCTGGCAGCCGGTGATCAGCAGAAGTAGCCTGCGGTATTGCACTCTAACCACTGCACCATCATGACTACTCTACTCTACTCTACTCTACTCTACTCTACTCTACTCTACTCTACTCTCTAATATATAAATACTTATGTATTTATAGTTATAATAGTTATAAGCAACTTTACCAGATGATCTTATTTAGAGAAGATCAAAGTTTTTGTTGCCTGATATAAATTTGGACATTTCAATGTTATTCTATGGTATCTCCCATTCTACAAAAGTGGGATGTTGGCCAGAACATTGTAGGATAAGGACTAATAGAACCTGTGGGAGGAGTAAAATGTTGGATCATCTTAGAATCCTTAGGTAGTGACAAAGAATTGAGTCCAACCCATCCTTAATTGCCATTGGTCCTTATCTAATTCTAACCAGGTGCTGACTGCTTGTTGAAAAGATTTCTGTGAGTAGGCTTTTATCAATAAATCAGTTCAATTGAACCTTCATATGTGGGCCTAGTTTTTCATGCCTGACAAATATGATATTAGTCAGAGTATGTTTTGAATCCTTTAAATTTTCAGGTTGGAAAATTGTACAGAATATACAAGAATTATTTTAGATAATAATTGAGAACAAATTATTTTAACTGATCTTCAAGCACAGAGAATTTCAGAATCCCTATAAATCTAAACATTATAGAAAGTGAGCTGAACTTACAATGAAGTAATTTTGGACTCTCCATGCAATAAAACAGCAGCAGAAAAAAAAAACAGACCGACAATATATTCTGAAACACATACTGGATTCAGCCAAACTTCTGATAAAAGTCATGACAATCTCACCTCCTATTTCAGCTACTTTATGGAAATCAACACCATCCCAGAAACAACTGTCCTGGAGGTAAATTTTTGACCAACAGAATCCCATGATGTGTGATACTGATTTTTTTTGCAACGTTTCAGTAAATAGTGTGTCCTCCCTTGGGTAGCAATAACTGAAACTATATGTTTCTAATGAATGTTGATCATTCCTGCACATTAGCTTGGAGGAATTTGAGCCCATTCCTCCTTACAGAATACCTTTAATTCAGAGATGTTGGTGGGATTCATTGCATGTAGTGTCTCTTTCAGGTCCTTGTACAATATTTACACAGGATTAAAAATAGAACTTTGACTTGGCCATTTCAAAACATTAATTTTCTTCTGGTTTGGATATTATTTGATTGTATGATTTGCATGTTTTGGGTTGACATTTTACTTCATTTTTTTGGGAACTCAGTTCATGGTCTGACATCCTAGTATTTTCCTGTAGAATTTGCTGGAATAATTCAGAACTTGTGATTCCCTGAATAGCGGCAAGCTGCTTGGTCAGAGGTAGTAAACCAAGCCAAAATTGTGATAGCGCACTAAGGTAATCTTTGATTTGTGACTGTAATTCACCCAGAATTATTGTCATAAATCATGTATTAAGCAGGTCACCATCTGACCGCACCCAATTTTGTGTCCTTTTTGCAGTGATGGTTAAACAAACACCAGAGTCTCTAAGTGAATGCCACATTTGTTAAGCAAATCCATTGTACCTATTGGGAAATACCTGGAAGTAAAGGCCAGTTTCTGGCAAAAAAGTAATAAATTGTGGTCATGTGGTTGTGAGACACTGCAAATGGCTGTAAATGCAGCCTGGTTGCCAACTGCCCAAAATCTCAGAGGCTGGAGGTCCTAAGAACTTCAAAACCAAGTCATAAGTCGCTATGGAAAGCATCTGTTATAAATTTGACTGTTGCTAAGCAACCAGTAGCAAGGCTAGGACTATCTGTACCATGTTTCATAGACGAGATAAGGTTTTTATGTTGGAATGTAGTCTTTGCTTCAATTTTTTTTTGCCAAACATAAATCTTTTCATGATTTTTCATAATTTTAATCTGTTTTTACATTTGCATTTACATATTTTATTGCACTGTAAACCACTCAGATTCACCTTGAACTGCAAGGTGGGTGCCAAATAGATTTAATAATAGATAAACAAATCCTTAGGCCAACAATTTATGTTTGATTTGGTCATCCCTCTACGGAATATTATTTCCATAGGAGATCTTGTTTTAGGACCTGTTTAGGTAATATTAAAATATTGAAAATTCAAAGGGATTCACAAACTTTTAAGCACCACTGTATGGTCCATGTGGTCCTTCTTTGTATTGCTGGTATAACATTGAACTTGATTTCCACTGTTTTGCAATTAAAAACAATGTAGTGAATTTTCCCTACAGCAATGACAGGGAATACTGAATAATACTAAGCTTCTATCCAGACATTAAATTTAATACTGCAACTGTGGGTTCCATAGGAGCACATATATTTTCAACCTCTGTTGCTTTGGACTGCCAGAAGTGAGGATATTTTAGGCTTTACTATTGTTTGTATAACATTTTTAATTAGGATTTTTTTTGAACAGTGTTTCAGGCTGCTGGATTGTGACCTGGCAAGTTATTCTCTTGATACCAGCTTATCCTGGGATTGACACTTCCACCCAATTTGTATATGACTGCTTCAGGTTTCTGTCTTGTTCTTGTCAACAGACTTGTTTGCTACAAGAATGTCAGGGAATTTTTTAAAAAAATCCCTTGTATTTTAGAACGTTGAGACTTTTCTCTCTTTGTTTAAAATCCATACTCAGTAACCCAGACTGTATATTTTGCAAACTAGAAGACCCTCAAGGTTCCTTCCAATTCTGTTATTCTATGTTCTGCATTTTATAAGGTTTTCTATTATAAGCTAAGGTTTGGTGGTCTTGTCATAAGAAAAGTGGAACCATAATGGGAAAAGTGATATTGAAAGAACTCCAGTCTCTCTGAAAAGGATCTTCTGATCATGGAGATGTGTTTGTGAAACAACTCTTCCCATTCTCTTTTCCTTTCCTTGCATTCCCCCCACCAAAAATATATATATATTCCTCTTCGGTAATAATTGGGGGAGGGGAAGTGATATTCAGAATTAGACAACAATGATCTGTTTAGCATCTGAATTTCTGCAGTTCAACTTCAAAAATGCAATTTCTATATGTCCATCTGCAAACCAGTATCAATTTAGTTTCAACCCATATTTATTTTATCTATATTTTATACCATTCTGGATATGAATTATATTATTGAAACAAGGGATATGTTAGAAAACAACTAAATGTTTTGTCTTTTTTGTCAATAATTTGTCAAAATTATTTAAATTTTGATTGAATGATTATGTGTGAATGACCTTGGGAGACCCTGGGAGGGTGGAAGATATGGTGGCTAAGAAAAGTTTGAAACGGAACTGGGAGTCCACAGCAGCCTTAGGGCAGAGAAAGAAATTCAGAAAGGATCCTCTCTAACTTACCACGCTGTAAAAAGAGTTGGTGAGCGATTTGTACTTTCAGACAGAAAAATTCTGTTAATGTAGCCTTATATTAAAGGAGAATTCTCTCATCTAGTCTGTTTCCTGACTGCTATGCCTAGGAAGGCCGATATATGCCATCAAATCTTTGCTAACCATTGGTGACCAAATGGATTTCCCCCCTTAATGTTTAAAACTTACTGTTACATTAATAACAACCCATAGGATGTCTCTGTAAATGTGGATTCTTTCCTTCCTTCCTTCCTTCCTTCCTTCCTTCCTTCCTTCCTTCCTTCCTCCCTTCCCTTCCCTTCCCTTCCCTTCCCTTCCCTTCCCTTCCCTTCCTTGGATTTCTTGTTATTTTTAATAAAGCAGTATTCATAACCTTTAACTCTAGGATCTCTCAGTGACCATATAGACTGCTGATATGTTATTTCCATCTCTTTTGGGTATTTCTATTTCATTTTCATGGATTTGGAATTTTCTTTGCATTTTAAGAAAGAACACAAGAATTTTAATTTTAACTAAACTTAAGATCAAGCTCCTATTATTCTGAATGCTCAAAAACCAGAATGATGAAACGGTTAAGAAATTAGTGTTTCAATGTCTTCATAAATCCTTCTTTAAATATAGGAAAACTAGATAGCTAAAGTATCCCCATGCCTAGTGAAAAATAAGCAAACAGAAAGGCATTTTTTCATATTGTATATACAGGTTGAAAAGAATCAGTTGGTAAATATAACATAGATTATCTTCTCCCTGCCCAAAACAGAAGAATCAGCTATATGTATTCTTACAGAGTTGAATGTTATAATCAACATGTTGGTTGATTATAATGGATTATCCTAAGAATAATTCTAATGCAATTCACTTTTTTCCCCTGTTAGGTTGGCAGCATTCCACCAAGGTCCATGATCAACTATATAATGCAGAATTCTAGAGGGAAAACACCTGCTATGACCTATTCAGTACCTGTCCATTCAAAGTATATTGAAAACATTCCTGCAAGGATCCTCAACAAATCACAGATGGACACATTTCAACTAAAACCTGAAGAACAATTAGGCAGGAAAGATCTGTTGATGAAACTTAATGCATATATCACTCAGAAATTATCAGGCAAAAACCTTGATGGGCATTCATCTGTTAGCAGGACTAAAGAAACTTCTCCTTATGACAACAGCGTTAAACCTCTTCACATTGACCAATTTGATGGAATAATATCCAAAGAAAAGCTAGGAGGTTTTGAGATGAAACCACAGTTTTTACAGAGGCCAGTATCAGGATCGGTGTCTGGATCTGCACGGAATGATTTGAAGCTTTCTCTAAATCCAATAGATGGTAAGGGATTCATATACATTATTTAGGCATGCACGCTCACCTTGTTTTTATTTTTGTTTCCTTTTAATTTAGTGATTTTCAAGCTATGTTCAGGAAATCCTGAGATTCTTTAGAGTTTATTTAAATTGAAAAATTGCTTAACTGGAAATGTAATAATGATGGGCAGGCATCTCAGAGGTTTGTGTTAATGAGCTTGGTGATTTTGAGCTGCGGTATACATTTTCAGGGTGGCTTGATAGTCTAATGTGTCAGAGAGAGACCGAACAAGATTTAAACTCTATGCTATGGGATGCGATAACAACAGTTAAGGATCATGGCAATTACTGTAATTTCTCAGTCTGCTTCAGAATTGCAATTTCTTCAGTTAAGGACTGCAATGTAAAGTCCTAAACGGGCAGTTTGAAATTATCATCCAGGTTTGATATTCATATACAGATCTTTTTTTTGAGATTTGAGATTTGAGAAGTTTATTTATATGCCGCCCTTTTCCCTGGGGGGACTCAGGGCGGCTTACAACTCGAAAAGGGGGGGGGGGAAACAAACATTTAACACATAGGACAATACGTCATTAAAAAACACAACATTCGTACCATTCGGGTGGGTTACAGTCTTTAGCCCCAGGCCTGACGGGATAGCCAGATTTTGAGGGCTGTGCGGAAGGTCTGGAGGGTGGTGAGGGTACGAATCTCCACGGGGAGATCGTTCCATAGGGTCGGAGCTGCCACCGAGAAGGCTCTCCTCCGCGTGGTTGCCAGTCGACATTGACCAGCAGATGGAACTCGGAGGAGGCCTAGTCTATGGGATCTAATAGGTCGAGTGGAGGTGATTGGCAGTAGTCATATCTCTTCAGGTACATTGAATTGTATTGAAATGGACACTTGTTCTCCACATTGAATTATGGCAAGTAGGGAATCAGGGAAATCCTGGTCACCTACCCTTCTTGTAGAACACCTTGGAATCATGCTCCCAACAACACGCACGGACATTGAGAAGTTTATTTTCTTCAGATTGATATAACTTGTTGGTGACACTTTAATTCCTTTGTAGGAGCTTGGAGTATTACATAGCCATGTTTTGATGTATCTTTTCTTTACCCATCTCCTTTGTACTGCATGCTTTCATTTTCTTTTGCTGTGAAAGCACAAAATCAATTGAAGTGTTCTCTTTAGTGAGAAGAAAGCCTAGTGAGGACATGCCTAAAGTGACAGCATTCATGGCGAGGCACCTGCCTGATAATAGCTTTCAGAAGCAAAATGGAATGTAAATGCAGGCGCAGGTGACACCGCGCGCATCTCCGGAATAGGTCTACCGTTAGAGCAAAGCTATACCCATGCTGGTTTCATTATCATGCAAGGCCCCTCTTTCACCTTTCTTAGCAGGAGCCTACATAGAGCTGGGTACTTAATGGTTACTGAGAATAATGTGCTGCAAAATGTATTGGATTTTGCCTATTGGACTTCCATAGGCATAATGGAACCTGATAAAACTTTTGTGATGTCTAGATACAATGCTATGAATGCATTAAAAAAATTCTTTTGTTTTGTAAATTTGGACTTTCATTGCTGCAAATGGGGAGATTTTAACATTATCTTTTCCTTCATTCAATTATGTTTTCATTTTTAAGTCGATTCACATACCAAATATACCCAGCTGTTTTTGCCAGCTTTTAAAAACCTTATACATTTGTAGTGCATGGATTATTTTTCAAAACTATTGCTATTTATGCCACAAATCTACATATATTTTTTTTACTTTGGAGAAAGACTTTTTCATAATAGCAGGAATGCATCCTTTAATAAGGGGGCTAGGTTTTACATACAGATACCAGTTACTTTTAATAAGAAGTTTATCTCTGGGAGATGTTCCTTTAATGGGCTTGCATCCTAGTGAGTGCTCAGAGTGAGAGACAGCACATTATAGGCAAATAAGATCCCCCCCCCTTCTGTTTTGGTTTTATTTATTCAATTAGAAAGACCTGCTGTTTAGTGGATTCTGGAGCTGGGCCATTGGGCATCCATTTTCAATTTCATTTCTTTTCCTTTATTTTTATTTTGCTTGAGATTGCAACTTTGCTTTGCTATGTAGATTATGACATTTTCGGGGTGGGGCTAGAGAGACAAGGCATAATAGAAAAGAAGAAAAAGAAGTGAAAGGGAATGAAGCACAGGTTATTTAACCCCAGCCAGGATTTTGCTGAACAGCTAGTTGTGACATAAATTAAACCAATGTTACAAACAAGCAAAATCTATAAAAGAATAGTACAATTTATTTTAATAAGCCTATGTTTGACATATAAATGTTTGAGGTAGCATTGTGAGCTTTTCCTAATAACCTATTTTACAACAAGCGACTAGTTTTAGAGCACATTTTCAGAATCATTATCTGTGAATTTCTTGTATACAGAATAAGGTACATTGTGCTGGTTTTTTAAACTGGCTGAGATTTATGTACCGGGTTTAAAAAAACTGCTGTGAGCACTGCTTTAGGAATAGATTTATTTGTGGCCTTTACTATTTTTTATAAATAATTAATGATGCGGAACATACCTAATACTCCTTCCTTGATCTGTTTTACCCACAACAACCTTGTGTGATGAGTTGAACTGAGAGATTGACTGGCCCAAGATCACCCAGATAACTTTCATAGTACCTAAGGAAGACTAGAACTCAATTTCCCAAAGTCTACCTTGGTCTCTTAACTATTAACCAAGCTGGCACAATTACTACCAGTATACGTCTAATGGATTAATATCAAATTGTTTAATTATATCAACATTGACTATGATAATCTTACCAGGTAAGATTTTAGAATTTGTAGTTAGAAATCATATGAACTAAGTTTACCACGTCAAATACTTAGAATTTGACTTCCTGATTCAGAGTCTTTTCTTGAATGTGAGAAAGGAAGTTTAAGTCATATGCCTAGGATGTGGAAGCCAAAGTGGAGGAAAAAGGGAGAAAGGGAACCTAAGTAAAAATTGCACAATATTCAGGGATATATTTATCTTAAAAATGGCTATGGTAGCATTACATAGGCAAAGTTAACTTAACCCGTGATGGGGATTCATACAATACATGAAGTTCCAAATTAATCACATATGTTACATTTGCACACCATGTACAATTAGGTTGGCTAGTCAGTCCTTTAGTACATTGTGTGAACACCAACTAAATATCTTTTTCCTTCTCATTTCCTGATATAGATTCAAATTAATTCTTAATAGAACAAACACATTTTTATATTTAAATATAATGAATATTAATATTTCTCCCATTCTTGAAAATTATATATGTATGTATGTACAGGGCGGGGCATAACCTTTTCCTAGGGGGTCACAGCAANTAAAGAAGGAAGATTTTATGTGTTGTGTTTGTTTTGAAAATTAAAAAAAATAATTAAAAAATGATATTAGGAATATAATTCCAGATAAGTATCCCTCTTTTTAATCCTGCTATTCCTCCTGAAATTCTACATTGTAGTTTCTGTATCTTAGAATTTTATTGGTTATAATAAGCAAATGAAACTCTCAGCAGAAACCAGTGTTCTGTTGACAAAAGAGAACTTACATGTAGGGAGGTTAATAACTTGAAGTTTGTTTTACTTTGTAAACTCAGTTGTGGATTCTGCAATATAGTTAAAATATTATGAAAGATGATTCATCCATAGTCATGACTTTACAGAAAACATCAGGTATTTTAATTATGCCATGGGACTGGCATAAATATTTTCCTTATGGCGTCTTGAAGAAAATATTTGTGGTGGCTTAAAGACTTGTCAAAATGGCAGCTTGTTAGCGAAAGAACTCTTGCTGTTTATGAAGCAGCCTTTCAAATTTGTGCAGTTCTTGTACTCTAAGGAATCACTTCTCAACAAATGAACCAGCAAACATGTGGAAAACTCTTAAAAATATCACCGGTTACAGCAAACCTCCTTCCTATGCTGAAGGAAATAAACAACTGGCAGATGATCTGAATGTGTTTTTCTGTAGGTTTGAGAGAAAACTATTGTCACCCATCTCCACAATCCCCAATCTTAGACACACCTACAATTGACCCCATCCCATCAGGCTTAACACTTCTGGTGATTACAGAAAATGAGGTGCCAGAAAAAGCACCAGGCCCAGACAAGATAACTCCTTCTTGCTTAAAAGAAGTTATTTGAATAACTTCTGCCAGTGAAAATCTGTCATTCTGGGCAACTTTAATGCTAAGGTGGGGACAGACAATGACAACTGGGATGAGTCCTTGGAAAACTTGGGGTGGGAAAACTAAATAATTACCTGCTGCTTCTGCGCAAATGTCTCAAGCACCACTTGTGCATTGCTAACACAATTTGTATATACAAACAAATACAAAACTACCTGGATGCATCCCTGGTTCAATCACTGGCATCTACTTGATTATGTCATAGTATATCAGTGCAATCTTAAAGGCATCATCGTCACCCTCACCATGTGAGGTGCTGAGTGCTGGGCAGATCAGAGGCAGCTTCAGTTGGTCCTAAATATAACCCCTTTATATCGTAAGTAGCCAAGCAACCAAGGACTGGTAGAAAGTCATTGATCGTCGGCAGACTGTAAGGCCCAGACCAAGTTCTACATTCACAAGATGTAGTTAATGAAAACTCTCTGGCAGTATACTACTTGCAGGGACCTGTTCTGAAAAGTGGATGCAGTTTAAAGATGTCATCACTTAAACGGCAACAACTGTACTCAAACTGAAAACCAGGGCACATCAAGACTGGTTTGATGAAAACCATGAGAGTACGTCAGCAGCCCTCCAGGCCAAGAATAAGGTCTATGCAGACTGGCAGAACAATCCATCATCTGTTGTCCCCCCCTGTTATCCCTCCTCTTGGGGGGGGGAGCTGTTTTTGCCCTCCTCAGGCTCCTATAAAGCCTCTGGAGCCTGGGGATGGCAAAAAAAGCATGCAAAAAATGGAGGGAGCGCCTCTCATGCACGCATGCGCACTGGGGTGGTAGTCGCGTATTGCATTATGGG